TTGCTCTTAAATATTTCGTTATTACCCCCCTCCACCTCCTCCCTCCCTCCTTCCCGGTCCCCTTTTCAACACCTCCAAATTTTTTCCTTCACACCTACCATCGGTCCTTTCACTCGTCTTTTGTCTTCCCCTCCTTCATCCCTTTCTCCTGTCATGCCTTTTATCCCCTCCCCCTCACCGTCGCCACCGGCCATCTTTTTGAAACATCCTTCCAGGTATAACGTAGGTGGTTGGTGGGTGCTCTGGTATGGCTTGCTCCTTCTTTACATTAACCCTATCTGACGTCGTGTTTTACTATCGTATCCATACTACGTGGGGAACTCTTTCCAAAGTGGAAATTTGCTCGCTAATCCGATCCGTACGCTTTGCATAGCAGTGTTTCAAAATGATTTTTTTAGAAATACTGAAAGTTTCAAAGAGATCTTCGCACTAGAAGTATTCTAAAATGTGAAGAATACAACCCAGGGGGTACAAAATGACCCCAGGGCGTACAGATATGGTTAAACATCTACCATCCTTGTCTCTCCTCCTTCTTGTCTGTGTACGTGTACGTTACTGTCTGGTATGACGCCGAGCTTTCGGCACGTATTTGAACTATTTGCGTTACAAATGCCGTAAAACTCTTACTAACACTAAACCAGGTATGGCATGCTCTGTTTTAGCTTGCTCCTTCTTTCCTATTAAATTCTTTTCTACTGTCTTTATCGCTCCTCCTTACTTTTCTATATCACGCATCTACACTCCTTATCTTCCTTCTTTTCTTTGCACGTTTCTCTCTAGTAACATCTCGAATCTTCAGCACTTCTATGACATATTTGTTTCGCAAATGCCGTAAAACTCCCACTACCAGTTAACCAGGTATCATGTGTTTTGTTATAGCTTGCTCCTTTTCTATATTAAACATCTATCGTCCTTATCTTCTTTCTTTTCTTTGCACGTTACTCTCTAGTAACACTTAGAATTTTCCGCACTTATATGACGTATTCGTTTTGCAAATGCTGTAAAACTCATCATCATCATCATCATCCGGTGTCTTGCCGACTGGCGTGGGCGATCATGGACCCCCACTTACATGTGTCTTGCGTTGCAGCGATGGTGTCTGTTGTTTTTGCTACTCCCAGCCATGTTGTTAACCTGCCCATTATCTTTTCCCTCTGTCTGCCTCTGCCTCTCTTTCCATTAAACTTGCCTGTTGTTATAATATTATCGAATACTTCTTTGCGCATTGTGTGTCCAATGAACTTAGCCTGTCGCTTTCGTGTATTCGTCATAAGCTGTCGTCTGCAATTTGCTTCAACCAAGACTTCTACATTTGTTTTTCTAGCTGTCCATGGGGTACTACAGTATGCATCTTATGAAACACAACTCTGTCACCCCAATTCTTCTTTCCAGCTGTCTATTAATTGTCCACGCTTCGCACCCATATGGGATTTGCTCGAAGTGACTTGCAAGCACCCTTTTTCTTGTTTCCAGTTACATATTGATGTTTGTAAGTATCTGTCTCATTTTGTGGAAGGTTGCTTTTGCTTGGCAAAGGCAGCTTTCAATTTCGGTATGACATCTCCCATATGATGATATCCTTCACCTTCACCTATCCCATAGAATTGATATCCATCGGGGCGCTTTTGATGATTTGGCCACCAGCTTCCTCCACTCCTTCCAATCTTCAGCTTTTCTGAGCGCGTCTTTGAGTTCCAGGCCTGTCCATTCCTTGATGTTGTCCTCCCAACTCATCTTCAGTCTGCCTCTGCTTCTTTTTGCCTGGACCCTGCCTTGCAGGATCATCTTGGCAAGGCCGGATGAACTGATGATGTGTCCATACCAATGCAATTTACTTTTTCTGCCCAGAGTTAGGTCAGCATATGGTCCAATTTCATTTTTGATCCGCTGTTTGAGATGTGATAAAATCTGACGATATAATGGTCATCTTGGCAAGGCTGGATGAACGGATGATGTGTCCATACCACTTCAGTTTGCGATGTTTTGTTTTTACCAGAGTGAGTTCAGCATATTATGGCCCAATTTCATTTTTGATCCATTGTTTGACTTTATCATTAATTTGTGATGTGATAAAATCTGATGATATTATAATGGTCCCCAAATATTGACAAGTAAACCTCTGAGCCCCCCCCCCCCCACCCCACCAGGTATGACGTAGCCTCGTGTCGTGTGG